CTTCCTGGTCTGGCGGGGCAAGTACTGTACGTGAGGCTGTGGGAGAGGGCTGCGCGCAGTGCCCGCCAGGCGCCCTCGCCCTGACTCCATGGCCCTGGTCACAGTGAGCCGCTCGCCCCCGGCCAGCGGCCACTCCACGCCTGTGGGGCCCGCGGTGAGTCCGGCTTAGTCTCACGCACGCAGTTAGCTGCCAGCTGGGCTTGGGGGAGCGCGTCTGCCCGGGGCAGCCTCCACTCACGCTTGGGTATGGGCGGCGCAGTGCCCGCCAGGCGCCCTCGCCCTGACTCCATGGCCCTGGTCACAGTGAGCCGCTCGCCCCCGGCCAGCGGCCACTCCACGCCTGTGGGGCCCGCGGTGAGTCCGGCTTAGTCTCACGCACGCAGTTAGCTGCCAGCTGGGCTTGGGGGAGCGCGTCTGCCCGGGGCAGCCTCCACTCACGCTTGGGTATGGGCGGAGGGGGACCTCAAGGCTCAAACTCGAGGGGGTCGGGCTCTTAGGAACTTGACTAAGGAGAGATCTAGAGCCTTGAGCGCCAGCCCCATCTGCGGAGGCCCAGATCCGCTTTCAGCCTTCCCACGGCCTCCCACGGCATCCTCAGCCCACCTGTCCCGCCACATCTGGACTTGGGCTGGGCTGGGGCTGGGATCCCCAGTGCCTCCTGGTAGAGAGGGGGCTGGGGGTAGAAAGGAATTGGCATCTGACACCTTTTCTGGCTCCCCCCCAGGGGGGCATTGCCCCCAGCCCCCCCACACACATGGAGCCCTGTGAGAAGGGGAAGGGAGGAGGTGAGTTCTCCCTCCTCACCCCCTGGCGGCTGTTTCCTCAGCAGGACCGGGCAGCCCAGCGCAGAAGCCAGCTCCAGCGCAGGTTAGCACATTTCTCTGGACTTAGACGCCTCCTTCCAGCCCTCAGGACTGGCCACTCTCATCCAGGTGTTGGGAACAGAGGGCTTCCTGAAGGGCCCAAACTCTCCAGTTCATAGGTGGGGCCTGGTTTGGGTGGGCTGGGCTGGTGGGCCCTGCTGGCACGTGGCAGAACCCATGGGGCTGCCCTGGCTTTCACCCTCCCCTGCTCCTTCACCCACTACCCAGGACATTGGCTCAGGCGTCTAGGTGGGCTGGTGAGAAATCTAGCCAAGCCAGCTAGAGGAAGAGGGGTTTGAGAGCCTGAGGCTGTGGCCATCACCAGGGGCTTGGTTATCCATCCCTCCCTCCAGCCCTATGAACTGTCTGGGGAAGGGGCCAATGATCCACACCAACAACACCCCATGGGATTCAGACACTCCTAAAGTTTGAGAACCCTGGGCTGTAACGATTCCCCATGAGGCCAGGGATTTAGCTCAGTGGTTCTGCCATCTGCCTCCCAAGCTCAAGGTCCTGAGTTCAATCCCTGGTACCAAAAACAAAACCAAAAACGATTCCCCGTGGCCCTGCCAGGCAGAGCTTTGCAGTGCTCCGTGGGGCTGTCCTGGGACTGCTGGATGGAGGGGACAGTGGTGACGCACCTGAAGCCAGCTCTGAGCCAGTGGAGGAACCCCCCAGTGAGGAGCAACCCGAGGGGGACCAGCCGGATGGTCAAGGGCCCCAGAGTGTCAAGAAGCAGGAGCAGAGGCAGCACCTGCGCCTCATGGTGGAACTGCTGAGGCCACAGGATGACATCCACTTGGTGAGGGTTACCCAGAGCCCACCAGGAGAGGGGGTGGGAGCTGTGTGTCTGGGGACCAATGGTGTGAGGCCACGGGGCACCCTGTGTAGTAGAGAGGTTACCCAAACTCCATGACCCTGCTGTTTCAGCTAGAGACATTTTAACAGGGGAGGTCGTGTCCACAGGCTCTGGGGAGCTGTGAAAGGCCAGAGAGGTTTGTCCTGTTTAGCCAAACAGGGCCAAGTTAATTCACGATGTGGGAGTCACACAGAGTCACTGTTCAGCCAGGGGAGATATTGCAAAGTGTCCAGAAGGCACCTGCCAGTGACCAGCGTGCTAAAGAGGCCAGGAAGCAGCCACGGAGAGGTGGCCTCTGGGGTGTCTGAGGGCCAGCTCCCAAAAGCCTGTGGAGACACCTGCTGTCAACAGCAAAATGTGACAAAGACGTACTCTTGCAAAGCTGAACTTTGCTGTGAAATTAGGTCCTTGATATTTCTTTGGTGATAACTTTTTAATATTTACTTATTTAGTGGTGCTGGGCAAGGATACCAGAGCTTCATATATGCTACACAAGCCCTCTACCCTTGAGCTACATCCTAGCCATGATAAGCATTTCTTGAATGAAAGGATGCTAACAGCAAGTAATAAGGTCTTTAAAAACCTCTTTCCTAGGCAAAACCAAAAATTGGGCCACTCGGTCAGTTCCAGCCCCCATTCTTCCATAATTTAAAGCTTTAATCTTTGACTTCTGGAAGGTTGAGGAAGGAGGGTCAAAAGCTCAAGCCCAGTCTGGGCAATTTAATAAGACACTGTCCCAAAATAAAAACAATTTTTTTTTATGCGGAACCAGAGATTGAACTCAGGACCTTGTGCTTGCAAGACAGGTGCGGTGCCATTGAGCTAAATCCCCAGCTCTAATAAAAACAAAATTTTAAAAATTGGGGATATAGCTCAGGGTAGAGGGACTGGGTTCAATTCTCTAGAAAATAATAATAATAATAATTAATAATAATAACAATAATTTGACTGTAAAATCCAAATGTTGGGAACCACTGGTCTTGTATGTGGGAAGTGGGGGTGGCAGTGGGGATGTGGGTCTGTTCTGCCCTGAGGTATATCCAGGTAGGGTGGAGAAGAAGCAAGGTCCTCACTGTGACTCTGGGCTCTTCCCATCTTCCCAGGCTGCCCAGCTGGAGGCGGCCCGACCCCCAAGGCTCCGCTACCTGCTGGTGGTTTCCACACGGGAATGTCTGAACCAGGAGGAGACAGTGCTTCTGGGGGTAGATTTTCCTGACAGCAGGTAGGAACAGGGAGAGGGTGGGAGAGGGGCAAGGAAGTGAGGTACAGGGAACAACAGCTCTCCCTCTATCCCCTTCCAGCTCTCTCAGCTGCACCCTGGGCCTGGTCTTGCCCCTCTGGAGTGACACCCAAGTGTACCTAGATGGAGATGGGTAAGATGTGGCAATGGGAAAGGAGGGGCTAGGCACTGCGGAACAGCAAAACTGGAGCTGAGGACTAGGGCTACTCTCAGGTCTATCTCAGATTCGCTGTGTGATCCTGGGCAAGTCACCTACCCTCTCTGGGCCTCAGCCTCCCCACATCTGAGAAAAGAGCAGATTCTCTGTCTGAGAGCTTAGTGTTGGTTCCTTGGCACCCATCTCCTACAGGGGCTTCAGTGTGACATCTGGAGGGCAGAGCCGAATCTTCAAGCCCATCTCTATCCAGACCATGTGGTAAGTGCTGCAGGGCCCAACCTCCAGCCAGCCTCCTTGAGAGATGGCTTCAGTGCCTGAGTGAGGGCAGCAGAGCGGACAGTGTGACCAGTCTCTCCTCCTGTCCCAGGGCCACTCTCCAGGTGCTGCACCAGGCATGTGAGGCAGCTCTAGGCGGTGGCCTTGTGCCTAGTGGCAGTGCCCTCACCTGGGCTGCCCACTACCAGGAGAGACTGAACTCTGACCAGAACTGCCTCAATGAGTGGATGGCCATGGCTGACCTGGAATCCCTGCGACCCCCAAGTGCAGAGCCTGGCCGGTCAGTGTGGAGGGAGAGGACTGCGGTGGAGGGAGGGAGAGGCAGGTGCTCTCCTGGCAGAGAGGAAAGGGGCTCTTGA